ACACACACACACACAAATTTGTTCTATGAATAGTAATATAAATTTTTGTAATATAGAGTATCGTTTGGACATTTTACAATGTTGTCATTTTCTAAGCAAACTACAAATCAAATCGCCCTGGCTTTGAATTCCCAAATGGATCCCAGTTTCTTTCAAATTACTACCATTTATGGTTGACCTATTATCTGCCAGACATTCTGTAAAGTAACTCTCATGTATTGTTTGATCAGGCTTTATAACAGCCCTGCAGGGTAGACCTTGTTCACATTTACAAATGAGAATGCTGAGGGTTTGAAAGGTTACGCAACTTTCCCAGAATCTCATTCCTGTTGAGAGGATGGAGGCGGGAGGTGGAAACCAGGTCAGACTTCTTTCACTCTTCGTCCTGTTCTGAGGCCCTGGGTGTCACAGAGGGTTGCCTGTGCATGCCCCCAAAGGCACCCACTCAGAGGTGCTTCAAGAGGAAAGGTTGGACAATCTGCTTCCAAGGGCCACAGCCTGGAAAACCCAACAGAACAGTTCTACGCTGACAGACACCGGGTCGTCGCCGGTCACAATGACTAGAGAACACCTGCTTCTCACTACTATCCCCAGCAGAGTTGAGGGGGTTTCTGTCCCAATGGTGTAGTGGGCAGAGAGAGGGCATGGTGCTGTCAAAATAGCATGCCCTTCGAAGAGGAGACAGTTGTTCCAATGTGCTGCCAAACCCTTAACCCCCTCACTTAGCTGACCCTCCTTTCACCAGGTCTAAAGCATAGTTACAAACATACTGAACAATAACCTGCAGAATTTCTCTAGGAATGAAACGAAAAGTATGAAAGTGGCATGAAAATATTAGTGAGTGAAATCATAACAAATTCAAGCCTAACTAGGCACAATGCACAAACTAATACCTCCTTTTCTAAGTTTTACAGTTACGACTTCAACAGAGAAGGGCCCAGGAGCAACTGGCTAACCAAGGCATAATACCACGTGAGTACCGTGCGCTGATGTTCCGGTATATTACTGTAGGATCATGTACATCAGAGCTGGTAGACACCCTGCAGGGACCCGGGGGGTGGTGAAAATAGTTATGCGAGGCTCACATAGACCCTGTGGCAGCTTGGAAGAAAGTCTTGGTGATCTACTTCAGAAAAATCAGCCGTTGAAAACCCCGCGGAAGACAGCTCTACTTGGACTCACCTGGGCTCTCCGTGTGTCAGAATTAACTCAGCAGCATGTGGCTGGACATTTTTTTAAAGCACCTCAGAATCACTTAGTCTAAGCTAATGCACCCAATCGCCAATATCGTCATGGAATCTCTGTCAGCAGTTACCTTAGACCTTGGTGGCTTTGCCCCAGCTGCCAAAACCCCACTGTCCTTAGGTCAATGCCAACTCATAGTGACACTGTAGCCACCCTATAGAGGGACCTGTTGATTTGTAGGATCAGGTTACTAAGACGTGCATGTACCCTTGACCCTTGAACAACACAGGTTTGGACTGCTTGAGTTCACTCTGGTGCCATGTGCCACTAATCATCTATAAGGAGTTGTCTTGTTAATCAATGGTGAATCGCAGAAGAACATGATCTCTCAGCTCTCATGCTAACTGCAATGCTGTCAACGTTGAACAACACTGTGGGACCCACGTGAAGTGGCACAAATGATGCTGGTTGTGCTCCCAAGAAGCAGAGAAAAGCCATGACACCACAGAATAAAGTTCAGTGGCTTGATGTATACCATAGGTTGAGGTTTACAGCTGTGGTTCCTGCCATTTCGAGATATATGATTCCACCAGAAGAAAATCCATGAAGCCATGCTGCCAGGTCCAGCAGTCAGTGCCAAAGCCTGGCACATTTTCAATGAAATGCCTCTTGATCTCATATTGAAAAATGCAGCTTTTCTGTAGATGTAGTATATAATGCAGTGGTTCTCAATCTTCCTAATGTTTAATACAGTTCCTCATGTGGTGGTGACCCCCCAACCATAAAATTATTTTCGATGCTACTTCATAACTGTGATTTTGGTACTGTTAGGAATCAGGCAATCCCTGTGAAAGGGTGGTTTGACCCCCAAAGGGGTCGTGACCCACACGTTGAGAACCACTGATATAATGCATATGACATACAAATAGTTCTTGACATTGGTTGTCTGAGTTTGTGGCATTTCTGGTTTCCTCATCAGTTGTTAGATGCCGACAAGTCAATGTTCACTCACAGCAACTCAGGCAGAGCAGAACTGTGGTGTTTTCTGGGCTGCAATCTTTTTAGGAGCACTATTTCTCCCACAGAGCCGTTAGGTAGGTCACAGCCACCCCCTTCTTCGTTAGTAGTGAGTGCTTAATTATGGGTCTCCAAGACGCCTTCTGTATTGCACAGCAGCCTTTTACGGCGAGCTTCTCTGGTTTAACGCCTCTTCCGATTTGGTGCCTTATATTTCAAGCATTACCTGCCCCTCCTCCTGCGTCCTCCTTACTGACAAACGGTGCTCTGCTTTCTTTTTCTTAACGCTGCCATGAACTTTCTTCATGGAATTTGGGGCCTGCTTGTGCAGTCTACCTCCTTGCCCTGCCCTTAGCTTGCTCTTTATAATGTCTTTTCAGAAGGCGACCTGGTGGTGCAGTGGATAAGGTGTGGCCACTCACCAAAAAAAGCGTGTTGGTTGAACCCACCAGCCATTCCTTGGGAGAAAGATATAGCTACGAGGCGGAAATTTCAAACCTACCAGCCGCTTCACAGAGGAACGATGTGGCAATCGGCTTTCTTGTGATTTATAGCCGTGAAAACCCTAGTTAGGAGTTCTACTCTGTCCTATGGGGCACGATGAGTATGAGGCCCAATTTCACTGTAATTTAGGTTTGCCTTCTTGATGTAGATTGTACCTAAAATTTCAATATAACAAGTTTGTTTTGTAAGGTAAACACTAATCCTTGTCCTACTTTTTAAATTGGATATTATCACCACTCTATTCTAAAACACCAGTCACAAAAATGTATGCTCACCTCATGGGTATTAGTTCCATTTGGGGTACTTTAACTCAACACCCCTCCCCCCAAAAAACCCAAAACCTGCCATCAAGTCTACTCTGATTTACAGCAATCCTATATAGCATTTCCTAGGCTCTGTCCAGGTTTACAGGAGCAGACAGCCTCATATTTCTCCCAAGGGTTGGCTAGTGGGTTTGAACCACCAACCTTGTAGTTAGCAGGCCTTCTATGGGTACTTTCATCCACTGTGGATTACATAGTGCCAGTTGTTTACTTTGTGGAAGACTGAGCATCAATGTGATTCTAACAAAGGTGGTGTGATCTAGCTAGGTCATGGAAGAAGTATCATTACATCTTTTGTAAGGTATATTTGAAATTTCTACACAATAAGCAGTAGAGCTAATTCTTGCTTACCTATACCAAAAACAGCAATCGTCATCAGGGTAAATGAAGCCACAGGTTAAACCCCTTTATGTTATGTTTTCTAACTTCCTTCCCCCTCCCCACCCCCAAAGTTTTAAATAAAGGCATGCATAGCAGTGGCAGCGGTCCAGATCCTGTGTAACACTACCATGGCTACTGCTTCAGCGTCTAGTAGATCGCCTTTGATCATTTATCTTGTACTTTAGTGACAGTGGATTCCTATGCTCCATGGTCTAAAAAGTCCAGTATAGTCTGTGCTTCAGAGCCAGACCAGAGCGGAAAGTTTTTTCAGGCCTTCTCTGTCCAAAAAAAAAAAAAAAAAGTATAAAAGGTTTTCTTTTCTTATTCAACTTAAAAATTTCTCTTTGTTAATGGCTAAACCTACAAAAAACGGACAGCAGGTGACCTTGTTGTTGAACAGCCTCTTCAGAGGTCTGCTAAACACGCACTAAACAGGTCACCCTCCAACTTAAAGGCTGCTTGAGCAATATTTACAATTATGAAGAGAAACCGCAAGAGCACGTTTACTTGTGGCCTTGTTTGTTTATTTGTTTCATTCAGTCCTCCTGGGGAGGTGCTAGAGACAGAGGAAGAACCAAAGGTCTGTAGACCACGTACATACCATTCAGGTCCCTGGGTGACACCCATGGTTAAGCACCCTGGGCCTAGCTGAGAGGTTGGCAGTTGAACCCACCCAGTGGCACTCAGAAGCTGGACGTGGCGATCTGCCTTGGAAAGGCACGGCCTTGAGTACATAGCTGATGTGTGGAGCCTAAGGCGGGCACCTGTTAGCTGGGAGAATTATCGCAAAGGTGGTTTGCAAGCAAATGTGGGTCTATGGGCGTCCTCTCCGCATGGCCACAAATAAATACATGATGGGGTCCTCGGTTTGAGAAACAACACAATCTGTTAGCTCACTGGTGCCTTTTCCTCTGAATTCTGGAAAAGCAAAGGGAGTCGATGTGGAGCCGTGGAGGTTCAGTGCTGGACGTCTGGCCTTGAGGCCACACATGAGCAGCCCGGTGTGCACGCGAGAGCTGGGTGCCTGCTCCACGGCAGAGAGCACACAGGAAGTGGACAGACTCAGTTACTTTAGTCAGAGCTGAGATGTGCAGGGTTGACCGGCAGGGTCAAATTCTGTGAGTTTGAGTCTTAGGGGCCCGTGGGTGAGAATAAGCTTTGGTTGAGGTCTATGGGATTAAATCTCTAAAAATCAATCACAAGTACCAACTAAGAACAGGAAGGAAGCTGTGGTCCATTGAAAAAGAACCGCTCTTGTGTAAGTTTTAGAAAAGCAAATGTCCATTGGTATAGTAGGAGCCAATGTAGGTATATTTTGTTGTCTGAGGTTTTAAGAATTAAATGGTGTATTTATTAAAGAAATAGTGCTTAAAGGTAATTATGCATCCATAGTTCATTTTATGAAGATAAATTCTGGCAAATAGGCCTACGACGAATAAGAATACTATTTTTGTAAGGCAGCAAAGTGACGAAGTTTAAGAGTTAGTGGTTCCTCTAGTCTTCAGCCAGCTCCTCCAAATCAGGTTGTCTGAGGATCTCCATTCCGCTGTGGAAAGTTGCCAGGAGTCACGGCAGATGCACACTCCCGATCTTTGCCAGGATGCACCTCTCCTGTTTTGTTCTTCTCGGGGAGGCCACAAGAGGAGGGATCTATCTCTCCATGTGATAACTGATTGGGCACAGCAATAGTTAACCTCCTCGGCCCAATCAGACCAAGCACGCGATCTGAACACATTGCCTAGCGGCTTGCAGATACTCAAGCACCCAAGGGTCTCCAGAAGGAAAGAGGAAGCACTAGTTTCAGGGTCTTTTTAACGTCATATAATTCAGAAAGAGTTCATGTCAACCTGACTGCAAACTCCAAAAGCAAATTTCTGCCATTGAGTCAGTTCTGATTCATAGAGACCTAACAGCACAAGGCAGAACTGCCATATGGGCTCCTGAGACTAACTGTTTACCAGAGGAGAAAGCCTCATCTTTCTCCCAAGGAGCAGCTGGTGGATTTGAACTGCTAACCTCCAGGCTAGCAGCCCATCAAATAGCCCACTATGACACCACAGCTCCTCAAAGCACATTAGGTGCGGGCCATTGTGTCAGGCACGGTCGGAACAACAATGGACAAAAGGTGTCTTTGGGACAGACTCAGGATTTTTAAAAAGCACCTGTAATTCAAGAGGAGACGTACTATGTTCCATGGTGCCCAAGAGTGCTTTACAAAACAGTCTTGTATTTGAAGATTTTTAAGAAGAGGGGGAACGGAGAAGGAGGGGAGAGGAAGGAAGACAGGTTAGGTGTTATTAGAGACCAGTGGCTGCCCACCTTTGTAGCTGTCCAAAGAACACATATCTATGTGAGAAGTCACCCAACAGTTTGCTCTGGTTGAAACAGGGTGGGAAGTCTCCATTTTGCTTGATCAGCCTCCCCTCCTTGCTCACAGATGCCTCGTGAGGGTCTCCAATGGAATGCTGCTGTTCTTCAGAGAAGAGTTTAAAAGGCCCTCACATTGCCCAACCTCTGATGTCATCCATGCTCACGTTCCTGAAACTGAGCTTGAGGAAGTCT